TGAAGAGAAGGCCATATCTGAATCCTGAGGAGTTTAGGGCCACTGTGCAAAATTTTCTTTCCCTTCCCTTGAGGCTCACACAGTACCCGTCTATATGCCCCAGAGTGAGAGTCCGGCCTATGTTTGCAAACTGGTTCCAGGCACCATTCCTTTCCGAAGGAGGCCTGGCAAGCTGCCCCCGGGGATGGCCGCTGCTTTGCTGATGGGGCTTCTGAGCTCTGCAGACAACTGTGTTTTGTGATTGCCGCAGGGGCCTCGTCATGTAAGAAGCCCAATGAGGGTCCCATCTTTGGGAACGGCTGTAGTGAATGATGGATTATGTTGCTCTGGTGTGCTGTGTCGTTGGGGGAGCCTTGTCTGATTCTCTCTCTGCTACTTATTCCCTGTCCCTAGGGAGGAGGCTGTGCCCGTCTCCCGGGCCTGCCTGCAGAGCAGCCGCCACCTCGTTAAGGACTGATCCGTTTAGCTAGCCTGCTGAAGCCGGGCTCTAGCCTCCCTCTGGGCTTTAGCCCCTCCTCATTAAGCTGGTTGGGGCTATTGATTGGGCATTTGTGTTTGGAAGAGTCTTACTTACTCCATGCATTATCTTGACAGATTGATCAGACCTGATTGAGAACCTCTTAAAGGAACGAACAGCTGTAATGGGAAAGTTGGACTCTGTCATCCGTTAGGGTGATTCTGGGAGCGAGAGGAACAAGGCTGACATCTTGGAGCAATTGTATTTACAATTAACATGGCTGAAAACGATTGCCTCTATTGATCCCCCCTTCCTGCAATTACAGCCCCATTGTTTACATTCCAGCACTTCAGTTATAAAAAGGAAATTCAATAATTATTGCATTATTTAAAGTTAAAGTGCCACAGAGTTTGCTGGCTGTGCTTGCTGGTTGATTTAACGTTCAGTAAAATCTATGCTGAGCTTTCCATCTTTAGGCTGAGCAATATTGGCTTTTAATGAGGCTTCAGGGGTGGAGCAAAAATCCACCTGCTGGCTGTGTATGGGGGAGGGGATAGGTTATTTATGGGGAATCTGAAAGAGATTCAGAGCATCACATGGGACTGGAGGCTTCCACTGGCTATAGGAAGAGGGAGAGGGAGCCACCTCCAGCCATTTGGCTGTTTCCATACTACGAAGGGCACGACAAAGCAAATGGAATAAGGAGGGTCAACATTATTAAGCCATTATTAAGTTCACTGGAAGGGTTCAGGAGTCCTAGCTGCCATGGCAGCTGCAGCAAGTGTAACAGAGACTCTTCTGCTTACCTCTGCCTCTCTAAATGTCCGTAGGAATACTGATGGTCCTTTTGCTACTCTGGTGGTAGATATGAGTTTATGCCAACATAAGGAGTGTTCTAAAAGTCCATGAAATTGATCAAGCCTTATGTCAAAATATGCAGACAAGGAATATACACAAGGACAGTGCCAAAGAATGCTCCAACTACCATACTTTTGCAATCATTTCACACGCTAGCAAGGTTATGCTCAAAATCCTACAAGGTAGGCTTCAGCAGTATGTGGACCAAGAACTTCCAGAAGTAGAAGCTGGACTTTGAAGGGACAGAGGAACTAGAGACCAAATTGCTAACATGCGCTGGATTATGGAGAAAGCCAGAGAGTTCCAGAAAAACATCTATTTCTCCTTCACTGACTATGCAAAAGCCTTTGACTTTGTCGACCACAACAAACTATGGCAAGTCCTTAAAGAAATGGGAGTGCCTGACCACCTT